CTTTTTTTACGGGGGAGCTTATTAAGTTAATATCCCCCGTCGAATTTGATAATTACGTGACATATAGTTGTTCATACAATTAATGTGGAGCAAGTCTCATACCTTGTAAATGGGATCATAATATTTTACCACGCTTCGCAATCTTGTCCATGCAAGCTAACTTTGTGCTAGTTTTTACTAGATCCGGGCGAACACTGTAATGTTTGCGTTTGGAATTAGAGTGTGCATGGGTCGAATTAAATTGATTTTTTTTTAAAACCAAACCGAATTGGTTTAAACAATTCAGTTCGAAAATGGTTTGGTTTAAACTAGAGTATGATGTTTGTATTATTGAATGCTTCTGGGCTATTTAACTATTTTACCCCTTTTTAATTTAAAAATTATCACTTTATTCCGTCATAAAATTATACATCAATTTGTCTATGTTGGACCGTTAAACGACCAATATGCTCGAGTATATGACCATATACTCGAGGATATCAAGTCTTATGAACATATACTCGAGTATATGATCCAGATACTCAAGTATTTGCTGTTTATGGGCATGTATTCGAGTATATGTTCAAAAAAAAAATTACAAAACTTTTTTAACACGTAGCTCTCGAAAAGTTATGTGGAATAAAAAAAAATACCTGATACGGACACCCTAATCAAAAATTATGGCCTTATGAAGTTTTATTAAAAAAAATCAAAATTTTATAATGCCAATAGGTTTTGTGGTGATACCCACAAAGCTCCTTCAAGTAATATGAGGAAGAGCTTTGTGGATATCACAAAACCTATTGGCATTATAAAATTTTTTGAAATTTTTTTAATAAAATTTCAGAAGGCTATAACTTTTGACTCAGGTGTCAGAATTAAGTTTTTTTTTAATTTCACATAACTTTTCGAGAGCTACGCATTAGAAAAGATTGGTAGAAATGTTTTTGAACATATACTCGAGTACAAGCCCTTATACTCGAGTACATGTCCAAAAACAGCAAATACTTGAATATCTGGGTTATATAATCTAACATGTTCATGAGATTTGATATACTCGAGTATATGATTTTATACTCGAGTATATTGGTCAAACAAGGGTATATTAATGTATAGTTTTAAAACGAGGCAAAATGATACTTTTTAAATGAAAAAATGTCACAATGGTCAAATAACCAATGCTTCTGCCTTAAGATTTATATAATACCCCAAACTTAAGTATTTAATTAATTAATTTTAATTAAGTAATTAAGCCTGTATTAGTGAGTAAAATTAAGTATAACACTTAATTAAACGAATTGGAGTCACTTTGGAGGTAAAAAGTGTACTCAGTGAAAGTTAAGGGGTATAAATGGGTACTGGAAAAAGTGTCCAAAATATAAAATATAAATATTAATATTCCTAGAATAATATCCCATACTTTTGGGTAAAGTTTGGTAATTAATAGAGTTGAATAGATAGATGAACCAATACCCACATAAGCCACTTAACTAAGTTAAGTGACTTAAAAGCCAAAAGAACCCCTACCCCATTCATTCCCCACGACACCCTGCACCAGGGAAGAAGAAAAGAAAAAAAAAAGAGAGAAGGAGGAAGGAGGGAAGGAGAAGGGAGGAAGAGGGTGAGAGGACGATTCTCCACCGATCGGAGTGATTCCAAAGCCTAGACCACTCAAAATCTTCCCCTCTTCCATAATCCTAGTTTAGTTTTGAGTGGGGGTTATTGTGGAGAGAGATATTCTCCTTCAAAAATTCGAACCCTAGGTGAAATTGAGGAGATTGATGGCTCCTACCTCCATGGGAGCTTGGGAGGCTTCTATTGCATGGTTGTGTGACCTATTGTGGTAAGTTTCCACTTCTCCAACCTTGTATTCTTGGAAGTTTCTTGAGGTTGATCATGATGAATAGTGTATTTTGGGGTTTTATGATTTTGAGTGTGATGGAGGCTTGGTGTCTTTGAAAATGTTGTTAGTGATGATAAATAAACGGTGAAAATGAGTTTAGATTGTCATTTGAGTAAATTATGCTTGAGATTAAGGATGCTCTTAAATGTTAAGATATTATTAGCATCAATTGATTGTATTCCTTGTGTTGATAGGATTGAGGCAAGAAGACCAAGTAGAGTGACCAACCTTTGTGGTTGTGTGCAATTGAGGAAAGCTCAAGAGCAAGGTAAACCTTTGGACCTTGTGGTTGATCCCATTGAGTGTTCCACCATACTCCATGGAGGAGAAATGGTTTATGAGATGTGATATGTAATTATGATTGTAATTGCATGCTCATGCATTGATTCATGCATTGATACATGTTATGATTGATTGATGATTATTGGTTGATTTTTGATTGTTTAAGAGTAATTGAGGAATGGTTATAGAAGTAGCAATAATGAATGAGGTAATGGTTGAGGATTGTGATTGAGGTTATGAGTGATAGTATTATGATGAGGATGATTGGTAGGAACTTCCCTTGGAAACAGCCCTATGTGGATCTCCATGTGGTTAGAGCCTAAGAGGAACAGCCCTATGTGGATCCCTCTTGGAGGTTCCTAGATTGAGGAAATGACTTCCCTTGGAAACAGCCCTATGTGGATCTCCATGTGGTAAGAGCCTAAGAGAAACAGCTCTTAGTGGATCTCTCTTGGAAGTCCATGTGATGCTTGCTGATAAGAATGTGTTAAGCTATTATGATTATGTGTACATCGAAAGTGAACCTTAGGGTGGAGTGATCTCCAAGGACCTCTGGTTTACTGTGATATATTCGTATATCTCACCCCGTGTTATGAGGACCCCCTTTCAGGTAAGGAAGCTGCAGGAGCCTCTGATGGCAAGTGGCCTTATTTGCAGTAGATCATGCATGAAGAAAATGGTGTTTTGAGATCATACATGTTATTTTGTAGATTTACATGTATAGGATTGATTATTGATAGCATTGACGTATGTATATCTCGTTATATTTGATGGACTTAGCCTATGATCATGCCTTTGGATATCTCTTTTGTTGATGAGAGCCAAGGGATGGTCATAGCCTGTTGTAGCTAAGTTCCTCGTTATGTAATTAAACTTGTGTAATGTTATTTACTTCAAGGTTATGAACGCATGATGAATATTGGAAATGTTGAGCTGAATTGTCTATTAGGAGCTAAGCTGTTAGATTGGGAAACGTTGAGAAAACAAAGGTTATGCTGCCCAATTTTCGTTAAATCAATTATGGAGAGGAATTTATATGACAGATTTGGACCGTGGTGTATGTATGGAAGTTGTAGATATTTTTCTTAGCTTTCCATAGAGACCAATATTGTGTGAATTGGACAAGTACAACTCTAGTTAGAGGTAAAATACTAAGAATTGGTGAAACCTTCAAAGCTTTGGCGTACCTGGCGCCAAACTTGGCGCACCGCGCGCCATAATGCTTGGAAGCTTCTGTTTCGTAGCGCAAATCGCGCCGGGATCACCAGCTAGCGCACCTGGCGCCAACCTTGGCGCCTCCAGCGCCATTTCGATCGGGAGCTTCTGTTTCTTTGGCGCCCGCCGCGCCACAGCTGGCGCCGGTCGCGCCGGGATCAGCAGGATTCACGCGCTCGTTTCGTAGAAAACCCATAACTTGGGCTACAGTGCTCCGATTTGAGCGCGGTTTGAACCCACGCGTAGCTAACGAAGAGATCTACAATATAGTAGAAGTTGTGAAATAAATAAGAAGTAAATTAATGGTTTAAAAATGGAATGAGAACATGATGTTAAGCTTGGTTTATCTGATTCCGCAAGGTAATATGGTTATGATCACGCAATTGGATATTTTAAATTCGGCATCGTTTTAAAAAGAAAAATTCATCCGGATTTTTAATTGAGCCAATGTGATTGTAACTGCGCTTAATATCATAATGCGATGTTAACAAACCGGTTCTAGAACGGGGTGTTATAATTTACGCTTAACATTTTTCTTTAATCTTTGTCTCTACGGCTTGTGCCAAAATAATTAATCTATAGTGTAAGAATAATTTCTTGATTCATATGAGATATTATAAATCATCATTAATACATCTTTATTCTAAACCAATGAATGCTAGCATGGAAACTTACTACTAGTAGTCTAGTAGATATTAGTTATCTGCTTCATTCAAGTGCTTTGCTGACTCATTGAATTTGGAATATGGATAACTCCATAACTTTGCCTTCTGCTCATCAGTGTTCTGAACCCTTACAAATTGATCTTTTTCTATATATCTTCTAATTGATGACATGAAGACGGCTGAGAAGTTAGCTGAGATACTGGAAAACTAGAGGAATATGAACGAGCTTGAAGTTCATAAATACATAATCACTGTTTAAATATTAGAATGAGCTAGACTGTTTGATCATGGATGACCTCAAAATTGAGTAGGGAAAGGGAAATTGGATGCTGCACTGAACTGTAGAAAGAAAATCTAAGCAAGATGTCTTTGTCAATCGAACTATACATCAAATTGTCATGTTGTAAGATGTTTTTGTGAATCAAATTAGCATGTTGGTGCTTGATAAACATATTAGGCTTCCCCCTTTTTTTTTCTTTTTTTCTTTTTTCCAATTCAAACTTTCTAATCTTTTTTTTATATATATAAGGGTGAATGCATAATTGTTGTCATTCTTTTCCATGAGGCTGCTTCCAAAATCAGAAGAAAAGCTATAAAATGGCTAAAAAAATTTATTGGCTTCATTAGTTGATTAGTTAATTATCCCTTAACTCGTTTCTTTGAGTGTTATGCATCAAATTGTTGTGGTGTATTGGTACAGAAAGAGCTAACAGCCGAGAACAGTCAAAAGATATTGATTGACAAAAATAGCCAATCTTGCATTATTCTTTGCCTGCACATATAGCAATTCATGCAATCTGATAAACAATAGAAAGTATGTACATCTATTCAAAACGTTCACAAGTGAAGGATTAAAAACTCAATAATTAAAATCTTACCAAGAAAATAAGGATCCAATAAGGAAAGGAGAAAGGAAGCTCAAAACACCTCTTTTTGTTCATGGGGAGGAGGGACAGCTAGCTGACACTAGTAAGGCTGAAGCATGCAGCAGCACTCTTCAATTCATTCTCAGCAACAGTCTCAATGCACTTTCTTGTATCCCTCAGTGATTCTTCGGAACTGCAGGCAGATATGTACAGTATCAAATATACATATTTTTGTTAAAATAAATTTCTACAAAAGTTTAGAGGGATCTTTTTCAAGGTTAGCATTCCAGATGACATACTAATGATGACACAGTTTGATTCTTAAATTTGAGCCAACCCTCATTGGCCAAATATCACCATTTTCTTTTTATTGGATTTCAATCATCATAACTATTTGTTTACATTAACCCTTTCTATGTTTCTTTTTATATATAATTTGTGTGTTAAACTCTCAACCTTATTTGACAATAACAAGTATTAAATCCAGTTTTTTTTTTTTTTTTGGTTTACTTTTTCTGATTAATTAATGATTATTCAAAAAACGATCAATCTACCTTGGCTCATAAGCCTCCTCGGAATAAATATATGATTGTCTGTCATCAATTGTATGATCAAAAAATGGATGTATCTCATCATAATCTTCAACAACTTCCTGTTGAACAGGCAGTGGCTGTGTGGTAACCAATTGAGATTGCACTGTCATGGAATTGCTATTATTGTGATTTGTGTAGGGATGCTGAACCCACAATTGGTTTGTGAGATAATCCTTTGAATCCATGTAAAGGGAGTTATAGGCCATGCTGTTGTTGGAGTAAGAATGTTGCTGTGACACAGGCAAAGTAGCCATTGTGTTGTTATAAATCTGTGACTGTGGAGCATTGAAGAGAGGAAGAGCATTAGTACTTGGTGCCATTCCCAACTCTAATTGTGAAGTGACATGATCATCATGCATGGATTGTCCTTGATGTTGGTGATGTTGCCTATACATCTCAAGTTGTTGATGAAAAACATGAAGCTCTTCTTCCATTTGCCATATTTGGTAACGTAGCCTACAAACTTCTTCCCAACAACCATGAACTGGATACATTTCTCTATAATTTGCTTGAGTAATGAGAGTCTCCATAGCTATTCTTTTTTGACTAGGCTCCAACTTCTTCAACATCTTATTAATGTTGCTTACTCCAAATAGCTTATGGACATTAAGAAACACCCTTGGTTGGTCTGCAGGGAAGTATGGAGCAAGAGGGCACTCAGGAGTGCACTTTCTTCTCTGGTATTTGCATGAAGCACATGCAAGGTTTATTCCACCCTTATGGGTCATATTTCCACCACCTTGTCAAATGATGGAACCCCTTTTAGAAAAAAGGTAATCAAAGCCACGATGATAAATGCACTGAAGAAACTTTTTGTAGGAGAAAGCTATGGAAGAACTTAGAAGGAGAGAGATATAGAGAAATCACCTTTAGTTGGTCATAGCTATTTTCCTCTGTTAATATGCGAATGTGGTGGGTGTGGAAAGACTCAGTAAAATCACATATTAAAGAGAGAAGCGAAATATATGGAGTTTGTTCTTGCAATAGTGAGACCATTAGTGACAAGTGTACATGACAATGTGGAAGAGTCCTAAGTTTTGGGGTTTCCATTTTGTGGTCATAGCTATTTTCCTGTTGCTCGTTTTCATGTGACACGGTTAAGTAGTATTGCCCTACATTAGGGCTGTGTCACCTTGGCAACACATATTAACAATTATTTTCAATAGACTACTCTTACATTACTTCCTTTTTAAAGGATAAATTAATAAAAATGCACGTTCTAACACATTTTGTTTTTCTTCTTCCAAACAGGATGATGGGAATGTCGTAAACAAAACAACGTATAAGAATCATTTCTTAATGCATATAGACAATTTACTTACGAGGTTTAAATATTTTTTAATACTGTTTAAATATGAGACACATTCACATTTCATTGGAGACAACAGGTATTGTGAAAGAAGTATTGGTACTGTTCTTGTTTGGGACCATGTACAAAAGCCCAAAGATATGGAGGATCCAAGCCCATGAAAGTCCATCATATGCAAAGTCCTTATCCCTTAATGAAGCAACCTTAAACTACCCAAAGGTATACTAATCAGGCATCCCTACCACACTTAACAACTTAAAACGCTACTGACTTGAGCAACCACCCCACCTGTTTTCTGAAAATCAACTTGGACCAGTTTGAAGCTCGTGCTAGACCCTGATTCAATCGTGTGTAATAAGTCTGGATTTTCTCGTCTGTTCAGTTATGTTAGGTGTTGCACGAAAAACGAAAAAACAAAAAAAAGACAAAAGTTAGAAGCGAGAGCCGGGCCTGACAAGAAATTACCCTTAGGGTGTGTTTGGTACAAGAGAAATTTTTTGGTGACCAGGAATCATGATTAATGGGAATTCAGTAGAAATTGAGTTTACTTGGAATCTTACGAAAGAGGTGTTTGGTTCGCCAAAATATTACTGAGAATATTGGGTAAAAATTACTGATTCCATATTTGGTTTAGAACGAAATATGACTTGGAATATGAGGTTATTTTACAAAAATAACCCCAAACTATTTTTACTTTTGTAATTGATAGATTGGGTCTAGATTTTTATGTGTATTGGGGTATTTTTGTCTCAAAATTTATTGTTGTACTTTCCCTTTACTTGGTATTCTGATTGGTATTCCGAATTACCATATTATTTTTGGTAATCTGAATAGTGACTTTTCTTTATAAATCAAATTACCGGTAATCCTTGGATAGCCGGGAATCGTAATTTATTCCTTCTACCAAACGTGGTAATTACATTTACCAAAGAAGGATTACCGGTAATCATCTTCAAAAACTTGAACCAAACACCCCCTTAATATACTAATTGGTTTTTTGATAATACTTTCCTATTCTCAATTAAGGCTTTGTTTGGAACTTTAATTTTAAGAACAAAGAGTTTCAGAAGATTTTGTGAAAATCCCAAAATCTTTCCTTTCACTTTTTTAAACTCACAAACAAAGAAGGGATTAATAAAACCATTCCCTTCCTTTCTCTCCTAAAATCAATTCTCAAACAAAAACCTTCCAACCCCAAGATATAACTCAATTGGTAAGCGAACTGCAGCTTAAAAGTCAGGCTATGACAACTGATGAAATCATGAATTCAATTCCTATGAGAAGCACTTTAAGGTCAATGGTAAAACCTTCTCGCTCAAAGCCACAAAAGAATCAATCTCATCCTGAGATGAAAACACTATGAGGTTACTCAAAAAAAAGAAACTTCCAAAGAACAACGCATCCAAAAAAATCAAGTGTCCATGATTTAAAAAAAATGAAAAAAAAAAAAAAAAACGAGCTATTGGTTGCGTGACCTTAATATGAATTTTGTCGGCTAAATTGACACAATCCATTTTCTTTTTTATAAATATAATATACAACAGCTGGTAGATCTTATTAGCATTAAATTGATGAAAAAATTAATAATAATGAAAGTAAAATAATATCATCATAGAAGGATTTGCAAAGACTGAACAGTCTGTTTGATACATTATACAACATAACGGAAGTAAACGTTCTTAACAAACAACTAATGACGAAGCTATTAAACCCAAAAGGGCAAAACAAATTCAAAAGGAAATTTTAAGCAATCCAAACGAAACTGAAACTACAGCGAAATCAGAGTCTCTAGATGCCCAATTACACACCTTCACAACAATATGTAGAACAATGAAATATGATAATCCATCTTAATTGACACCAATCGCAAAAAATTTGGACAAAATTGTAACAAAAACTTTGTTCTTTACTCACTAAAAGCTACAGTTACATCTGCAACTATAAATATTTGAAATCATTACCTTCACTTATGCTGATTCTAGAAAACTGAAGCACTCCTCCTCCAATCCCATAAAGACAAGAAATTTAAAAAGAAGAAAGTACAGTGATATGGATATAATGGAGGGAAGCTCCTCAATTTTATCACTGCACAAATTCCGGCATGCAGCACGTTCCATCATAACTCAGGTATCACGGAGGAGAGAAAACTTTTATCAAGTAGATAAAAAGATCAGCAAACAAAACTCTTTTCAGCCGCAGTGGTAACAAGATAACAAATATAATCTAATCGTATGTAAGCTATACAAAATCTCTCTGAAGTCTTTTTTTTTTTTTTTTCTGAGGGGGGAGAGGGGGTAGGGAAGAGGAGGGATGAAGGAAAAAACTTTGTTAACAACCCTCCAAAATATGGTATATGTTCCCGCCAACAATGGGCAATTATGTCCATCATAGAACAGCCCCTTCTCACACAAAGCTGGCAAATCTCAGCAAATTGTGGTGCTTCTTTCCATTACCAAAACCTTTGGTTGGATACAAGAAATGAATGTGATATTTTCACAGTAGACCAATTTTGATGAGCCGTGCTCCGTACCAAACACCACTCTCTAGGCTCTTTGAAGTCCAATTACGTCCGGTATCAAAAAATTGCTTTGGACATGATTCTCCCCCGAGAACTAGTTGTTACTATTAAAACAGTGAATTGTTTCACATAATGTTAAATGCTATATCTCAACTTATGCATGTATCCCAAAACTTGTTGACATCATTGAAACTTGCAAGTTTATTTCCTAAGCCAAGTGCGTGCGAAATGCATCTGGATAAACAGGGCCTCACCATAAACCAGTTGGATGTCAAACTCAGTCAAACCCAAAGTTCTTCAGTCCAGCAAATGATATTCAGTTCCGATAGATATCTAATTTACAGCTTCAAAGAAAAGAACCTGGGGTTGCAGATGCCCTCTTTTACACATTGCAAGAACATCAGTCCATCCACCAATTATCTGGATATTGAAGAAAAAAAATTGAAAACAACAAGGGAGAAACATAATATATTCATATCTGTTCAAAGATTCAACTCACCTTGACTGTCTTGTCATCATACATAATCCATTGTTCGTGCTCATAACTATAAGCAAAGCAATGATAATGCTGCCCATAATAGCAAACCTACAAGTTTCACTAACATATATTAGGCACATAATGACATAAGTAGTGCGGAAAATTGGAACTGCAGAGCACCATTGAACCAGGTATTCATTTAGTAATTTAATGTAGAACTCATTGTTAGAGTTATATAAAACCATTAATGTAGCTTCACCTAACAGCTTAAGCTTTTGAGTTGAATTGGTTCTTTATATGGTATCAGAGCCTCGATGTCACGGGTTCGATCCTCACTGCCCCTCATTTAGTAAATAATTAATTAAGTCTTGTGGAGTTTCTTATCACAGGTAGGTGGCCTGTGCGTTATTCACCTTTCAAGTCCAGTGGGCTCTCATGTGAATGGGGGTGTTAAAGTTATATAAACCATTAATGTAGCTTCACCTAATAATTTAAGTTTTGGATTGAATTGATTCTTTACACTCACAATAGGTACTTAGGTAGTACAAAATATGGCTACTTTTCCATGCAAAACAACAAAATGTCAATCAATCATCTGATGAAAATTGGAAGAATGGAGTGAAAAGGATAAAAATTTATTTATCCACAAGTCTTCATTCATTCTTCCCATCTTCCTTTATGAAATAAATTACAAATCAGTATCGTGGTTGTTTTATGTACTGCATAAATGAAATTTTCACTGTTTGGTGCATTCCTATAAGGAATTCACTTTAAATTTAATAATACTTTTTATGAGTGATTTATGAAGCAAATTAAGTAAAAAACGAATTTAGGATGGGGCAGGGGGGGATGAGCAGAGAAACAAACAGGAAGGAGAAATATGAAGTTTGAACGGCTAAAACTGCTAAGTTGTGCATGAAATCTAATATTCAAAACAATTTTTTTAATTATGAAGTTTTAAATTGAATATGTCCCTTGTATCATAAAGGTATATCTCACCATTACAGCATCATGCAATCAATATAAAATATAAACACTCCATACATATTATCACTCAAATACATACCATCGAAATCAAGCTATGAGTGCTTTTAGGATCTAAACCACGATAAAGGACACTGATATCCATCTCAGTGCTGAGGGCTGCAACAGTTGCTGATATGTCATCAGCACTCTCACATGTATTTTGCCAACCTAGAACTGCAAATTCCAAACATGTAGGAGATAAAGAGAAAGAAACCTCAAAATGTGCAAAAGATAATACATATACATACGTACATAAATACAAACATACATACAAAACAAAAAACAACAATTCATGTGTAACGACAGAGTCACCTGTCATAAAAACATGCGGTGGAGTTGAAAGAAAGTGATGGATGTAGTTCAGCTTGCCACAACCACCAACTTCTGGATCACAAGCCAACTGATGGTTCATTTCCACAAGATTCAAAAGCTCATCAAAGGAGCTTTCAGCACACATTACCTAGAAAGTGAAGAAGGGATCGAGCTAAGGTACTTAACAAGGTTTTCAGAAGCTAAAAATCAGAAAATTTGTAAATTATTAAATGTTAAAATAATATATCCTTCCTAAAGATACCTTCATTGTCCGAAGGGCATTGGCATTTATATTGTGAAAGAAGGAAGTATACTTCAAGTGCCTGGACTCAAGACCACAGTGGTAGCAGTTCATTCGTTCAAAAATGTCCATTCCAAAGAGTGAATGTACTATACAAGTACTGTTAGCACAATCCCAAGATCCCATGCAGTTGCTTTCCACTGATTCTGTATCAGAAACACTTGAACTCCGAGTAAATGATCGATGGAGGCAGTCAAATATCACTGCCAGTACTTCAGAAGCATCATTCATCTGAGCCTGTCAAATGCCAACATATTAATCACATTGTCCATAAAAGAACCAAATTTTATCTCTTTCCCATGATGAATGAATGAGTTGACAAAAGTCAAGTTACAAAGAATTTATTGTATGGGTGGAACAAACATATCTGAGTGAAGTTACCTCCTGGAAGAAGTTACTATCTGGATATAGATTGCTGAGAGCGATCCTGAGGGAAGTAGGTGCAACTGCTTCTCTCCTAAAGTGTTTTGATACAACAACATCCATGGCAGTAAAGATGTCATACAATGCACAGACAACACAAGGATTACCCACATGATCATGCTCCGATCTAGGTCTGCCAAGAAATTCCTCCCGAAAGCGTTTTAAATGCCACAACGACTGTACTTGTACAGAGACAAGATGTTATTCCACTATGGAAAGTGATACATCAATTGAAAAAAAGTGCAGCAGCAGCTATTATAACAAATCCGAAAACTGACTTGAAAAAGACCTACCTGTATAATAACATTGAGAAAACAATTATATTCACCCACTTCATTCTTCAGCCCAGCACCAATAGAAGTTATTCCATTCACATTCTCAGTTGTTTCTTCCTCCAATGGACAACCCACACTATCTACTTGTGAAGTTCTCTGAGACGTTCTCAAATTGGAAACTGAAGGCACTTTCCTATGTGCTTGATATGTATCTGCAAAGTAGCATCTCTTCCAAGGTTAGAGTCATCAATGTTTCCATAATTCTGAAAAGAGGTTGTGAATCCAGAATTCCTTTCTTAAGCATGTTACGGGAACGTGTGTATATGTATATATTCTAACTCTAAAATTCCAAAAAACTTTAAAACTAACATTCTAAGTTTTCAATAAGAAATTAAATTATTGAACAAATGACTCGCACACCATTCTAAGTTACTCGCCTTGATGGAGAACTTTCTATCTTAAACTGAGAGTAAGAGTAATAGAACAGTGCCATTGTCAGAAAGCTAAAGGCACTGACATAGGGAATGGCCGTTTGGGTTAAGAGTGAGAAGCAGTGAGGAACCAATGATGCACAGTCGATAAGTTTTTTTTTATTTTATTTTGCTTCAAATCATCCATATTCAAATAAAGATTAGGAAACTCTATCTTCAAATAGAAATTGAAACTGATCTTGTTAGGATTTTCCGATTTTTTAATCAAATTGTAGCCCAAGTCATGCCAGCTCTATCCCTAACCGAACCGGCTGGTAACCAAGCCAAACCCATTTTTTTAAAAATGAGTACCCAGGTGTGTCGGGTATGTATATAGGCATATAGTTGACGAAGCTTGATAGTGTTATAGTGAATAAATGACAAATGCAACCTTTCAACATTTAGCCCAAACACAAACAATAGCTCTCTGATGCACCATCAGTGAGAACAAATAGTATTACTTCATGTGATAATGCAGCTAAGTTTATTAACAAGCAGAAGATATAAAATATAATTAGTCAAATCATTGAGAAAGTTGGCAGTGGAATTTGAATGGAAGTTCGCAGCATTATACCTTTACACAAGCAAGCCTATTCTTAGGCATAGAACAAAACATATTCAAACATACAATTGAATTGCCTCAACGACTCAGATCAGGCTGAAGATTTGTAGCACTCTTACTCAAGGAAAATATCTTCAATAATACGGGAGTACTGAAGACCCAGACCCAGTGCATCCTTTACTAAATATGAAAAGAGTAATATATTTAACTTTCCCATTTTACCCATCCTTTTATGGTTATTTTCCTCTACGTCCACACCTTTTCCTATTTTTAGTAAAGGAGTACATACTCTTGCAGTACCAAAGGTATGCTCCCTACTCAAGCTATTGAAATTACAAGTACAAATTGTAAATCAGATTCCATACTTGTTATGGATGCTTACTCCCTTCGTTGGTTTATTTTATTCAATAATTATAGTAATCTGAATTCTTATCCATCATGTTGTAAATGAACTATGCAATCAATAAGACTCGTATCCTACAAAATGGTGGTCATAGGCTATTACTTGAATCTAGTTCAGATATTAACAAATATCTGCAATATGGTTTGATTTCATTGCTTTGGATTTACGAAAGATGGCAACAAGCCATAGTTGGATTCAACAAAAATAGAAAAGGAGAAAGGAAGATCATCACAGAAATCTGCATTCAAACAACCCTATTTCCAATCTGCATTCAAACAACCCTATTTCCTTAAGTAAGTCATTTGCAGTGAGTCCAATTTCCAAGAAAGTACAGATATGGTAGTAAGTATAATAAAATAAATATTAGATGCATAAGATAATTGAAACCAGTCTATATAACAAGGGAGTTAAAAACAGTATACCTAGACTTTGGCTTACAGCTTTTTTAAGATCAGCTTGGAATCTTTCCTCCTCCTCATCTTCAACTTGCAACTCTTTCACCGTCTTTAATCCATTGTCTCCCCACACTTGTCGCACATCAAAGTAGCAATATATTAGTTTTCATATTTGGAGAAAATAGCTTCATAGGTGCCTTTTATCAAAACATTGAAATATTAATCTGCATTTGATTTTGCATGCTATACATAAAAGTTTGAAAAACATCCACTGGAGGAGCCAAAGTGCAAAACATGAGGCTTAAATGAAGATATTGAACCCCCAGTTCTACAGGCAAAATGAATGATAGTGAGCAACTGAAGCTCAAATGATAACGTAAGATGCAGTATAGTAATGATCTTAACAAGAGAAAGTCTTCCTCAGGGCATCTTAAAAATTATTGAATTAATGAATACTATTTGTTGGTCAAACCTATATAGTGTGTTAAGCGTAATCGTAAAACGGCAGAATTCCAGAGGGAAGAGGGGAGAGAAAGAGAAGTGAATAAGAGTGATTGGAAGAAAGGAATTGCTTCCAATTCCATATAGCCATTTTGTGACTTTTATAACAGAAGATAACAAGGATTTGAAATACTAAAAAGGTAATTGATATAAATATGGACTAATTGATATCAATATTTTATTAATAGAAGTTAACAAATGCTAATTAATACAAATCGTGACTAATTGATACCAATCAAATCTTTAATTGATGGAAGCAAGAAAATGATAATTGATACCACGAGAAGATCTCGGTGCATAACATAGTGCCATAAACTAGCAGCCAAAAGATAATTATGAGACAAAGATTTTCTTTTTAAAGAATTACGAGTAACATCTGCTATAAAAATCCTAATAAGGTAAAATTGATATGCACCAGCATCACGGGAAAAGAATCTTATGGAAAGGTTAGAACTAACCATTGTTAGCATCTTGGTTGTTATAGACTTTAGCCTGCTCTCTTAAGTGATTATCAGTATGTGTAACCTCAATATTCTCTTTTTCCAATGCAACAGATTCCAACTTCCCATCAACCAACGTGGAAGGATTCTTATGCCGTTTATGTTTTTTTCCTGCACGCCGATCAGACAACTGAACACCATTCTCCGTAACTACACCATTAGCCATATCTCCTAGAGAATAAAGAGAGTGATGAGAGCATCAAGCAAAAGAATAGCTAAATACATAAAAAAATGCAATTTAAGATACCTTTGAAAATGATTACCAACCTTGTTTAGCTTTCGAATGATGCGTATAATGAATCTTGTGGGCAGCTAAATCAGCTGAAGATTTAATTGGCGCCATGAAACCATTTGTTGTGGTAATAAGCACACCATCCACATTGCTTGGGTGCACATTCTCCTTTGCCAACTCCTCCTGAAAAAATGAGCAAGTTCAGAGGTGTATTTCCAGCAATACCTAATTCATATCTGTAAAGTATCTCCCTTTTGAAAAATAGCCTTTAAAGGTTCACTTTTCCATGAAATATCAAATTATGACAAGTACCCAGAAATCATATCCCCTTGCATTAAATAAGACAAAATCAAACGAGAGATTCATACCTGCACAGGTGGTCTTATATGTTCATGTAAATCTGGGCCATCAGCAACCACCTTCAACTGAGCATCCTGACGGTTGTCTGCTGCTTTCTCTAAATATGTCCCAGATGATTTCTTTTGTCGCTCAGCAAGGTGCTTCTGTTTAGCTTCATTTTCTATCCTTCGTTGAAATTCCAAAGTTTCTTCAAGCTTTTTTTCCTCCTCTTCTAGCTCAATTTTACATCTAAATTCCTCTTCCTGCTGATCCAAGTCATCACCATCCATAGAAACAACAACCTCAGAACCTTGATAGTTGCTATCAGGTGAAACTGGATAAGAACTGCAGCAGATACACATTAAAAGCATTAATAAGAAGTCACCATGTCTCAAAGACTAAATAATAATAATAATAATAAAACAAAAAAAAATGCCAAAGCTTAAAAACAGAAACATATACTGACTCAGGAATTGTAGCTTGAAGCAAGAGCTGCTCATGACCACTTGTAACCTGCAAGAAAGAGAAATATTAGCCAGGCATCATGGAATATGGACCAATATAAACAAATAAAGTATGCATGATGATCACCTTTAAATCTCTTGTTTTTCTATGATCTTTATTCTTCTTCTTATCTTTTGTCTTCTCCGTATGTCGTGTGTTCTCGCTTGTCCCTTGAGCAATCTTCTTAGAATCAAGAGCAAGTTCAGCCAAAAATGCTTCTCTTGCAGCATCAGACTTCTCTGTCGCATCTTTCTCAGCCAAATCTTCCAAAAGAGCCTAAACAAGCAAAAGAAAGGCTTATATAGTTAAAAGAAAGGTGAGGCAACAGCACATGTTTCAGAAGTTTTAATACAAACCCTAAGATATAACTTCACAAGAGGCAATAATATTGCTCGATAATCATAAGCAGAAATAGGCCCAAGTTTGAGTTCCAATTGCTGCATCTCTGTAACATTTCTCATGATTCGTGCATCAATTTTGCTCAGCTGCATAGTAAATGAAGTAGGTTAGAACAAAAAGGAACTAGGTCAACCTTGCACTTGTCATATAGTAGAGATGTGACAAGATTCAAATAAAAAAGTGACCTCTACAGATAAGTGCTCCTTCAGTTTCTGAATAGCAAGTTCTATACAGCCATCCATTTGATGCAAATATTCCTTCATTCTCCATTCATCTTCACCAGATTCCAAATCACATAGCTGAGAAGTCACACCAGCATAAGTTTCTTCATAACCAAATTGATTAACATTCATTGCTTCAGCTTCTTGCAAAACATTTGATACAGCATCCAACTCAAACCTATTGCTAACATAGGTCACATCATTCTGACTCTCAATGAGCTCATCTCTCCGTTTTCTTAAGACAGACTCATAGCTTCGCTGGACAAATTCGCCAATGTTTTCCCTCTTCTTACCTTCCTCAAGACAAAGATCCTCTACTGCCTGCAGAGCTTCTTCATAACTTACACGATCATATTTCTTCTCACAGAGGCTCTGTAGGTGATAAAACTCCTTCTCGAGCAACTGGACAATTTCCATTCCTTGATGTCTTCTATCTTCTCTTGCACGCATCCATGATGTCAATTGATCCCCGCTAGGTGAAACTGAAAATATCCAGGATAGCAAAGCATCGGTGTTGTGTGAAACCCTGTCAGGAGAAGCTGAGGCAGTTGCATTATCCAAGACACCTCCCTGAGCTGTACCAGACGTGTCATGTGTTGGCAGTAAACACTCATCCAGGAGGAGGCAGGATGCATCGCCATTGAGAACAATCTTCTCTTTGATCTCAGGACCTTGATTAGTATTGTTCAAATCATACATGGGACTACTGCTTCTGTCAGTATATCTACCCAAACCACAGGCATGAGATAATTCCTGTAAAAATTGGATAATTTTCTTAAGCTGGGCTGCATCCAGAAAGCATATGCACATTGGTGTTTGGTCCAAACCATGGTTAAGGAGTTGAGAACCACCAGCAAGGCCCTGTATCTCATCCATAGTAAATTGGATGACCTTGTTAAGATGATTAGCAGCAAGATATTTGTGTTTAATAAGCATCTCAAATACTGCACGAATTTTCCCAAGAAGTTTTGCACGCTCAGAGTCATCAGATATTGGCCAACTAACAGCAAGGGGATATGCTACAGATCCTTGGACTTCAACACCACCTCCAATATCACTTTCTGCAATTTTACAATAGTTACTGCTTTTTGTTGTACAATTATGAAGATTATACCTTGTAATTCCATTATCATGGTAAGAATCACTTGGGTCTTTAAAACAATTAATGTACTCCTCTCCATGATGACCCAAGTAGGAATCCTCAGAGAATGAAGGATCTCTGGATTTTGCTCTGTTTTCAAGCATTTTAACAGCTGACGAGACATCCAGTGGCTTCCAAGAACAATTAAGAATCATCTCAGTCCATTCATTGTCAACATTCTGGGGCAAAAGCCCCTGCATTTTGGGCAAGAGATTCCCCAGGTGTTCCTGCACAACATGCTGCCCGTGAGATTCCGAATTCGAAAATTTCTCATCACATCGGCAGCAAAGCCAGAAGTTCCATGTTTTATTGGCCTCGGCATATGACAAAGCCTCTGATAAAACCTCGTTAGGCAAAGTATCCTTCAAAGACCCAAAGTAGGACTTGAGATCACAAACTCTAATACTAAGCAAGCCCTTCTTCATATCCATACTCATCACATTCCAATATGAGCGTACCCAATCCTTCCTTTCAGCTGAAGACCCATTCTTTCTCATATGTCCATACTTCCTCCTATGACCAGCTCCTGAAGAAGACGAATCCAATGTCCTTTCATCCCTATCTCCTTCACTCTGAACTTGTGGTGACTCTGACTTGTGCTGCAACAACCTCGCAGCAGCAACTCGAACTTCAATTTCTTTCCTCCTCTCTTCGGGGGTCTTGGTGACCTTCTTGATCTCATTGGGCCTTCTGCTCTGAACCAACCTCACTTCCATAGGGTCCTCAGTGGACCTCCTTATCGGAATCAACCGAAACCTCTCCTCCCCATTTCCCAAGTTCTTCATCCAACTCGACAACGAAGCAATGTTGGCCTTCTGAATCAGCTGCCGAAGCTCGTTCTGCACGTGCACCACACGTGCTTCCGCCGTTGATATCTTCTGCTGGCTCTCATCCTGCAAGCTCTCCTTAGCAGGATCATTAGGATTCTCAACCGCCAACGCCCTCTCGCACTCCTGCACAACCTCCTCAAATTCCTTCCCTTCGCTTGCAGTGTCGAACAGCAAATTCGCGTAGAATTGCGAAAACTCGATCGAATTCGGGGACAGTTCCGTCGCTTTCCTTGCACACTCAACGGCGTTCCTCATATGCCTCTGCTTCGAGCTCGGGTCGTCGATAATCGCCGCCAGTCTGACGCACACTGTGCCCTGAACTCGGTGAGCGAAGCCCAACTGAGGAGAACTCTCGTGCCTGGAGCAGCAATCCTTCAACAGCTTCAGCGCCCTAGAGTGGTTTCCGCGCCGGAGCGCCGTTAGGGCTCGCTCGCATTCCTGCTTGATTGCGGAGTTAGCCGAAGCATCAGATTGAGAGGTCGTGAATTCGATCTTATCGACACCGTGATCGGAAACCGCGCATGACTCCGGTTCCGCCGAAATGATTGTGCCGTTGGACGCTTTTCCGTTAGTCGGTGGTGACACCGGAGAACCCGCCGCCGCCGTCGCAGCAGATTGTTTCGAGCGTGTGGCAGGGTTTCGCTTTTTATGCCCCATCGAATTCAATTGAGTTCGCACGAATCAGAATCACGTGCATATATATGTGTGTTTTTGAATCTACCAGTGTGCATGCGAGTATATTTATAGAGAGAGAAATAAAAGGTGTGAGGAATAAATGAGATTGGGGAAGAGAGAGAGAGAGAGAAAGAGAGGGTAACTCGAAATTGTAGAGAGAGAAGGGGAAGAGAATGAGAGAGAGAGGGGAGTGGTGCCGCCGACGACGGTGACTACGACGGAGAACGATCGGCGGCGAAATCTAAGAAGGTAGTGGAAACTGCGTAGTTGGGGGTAACCTGTGAACAGGTACCTAACCCCACGCACACACCAACAACAAATACTAGAAGGGTGCGGTTTGATGAAACGAATGTGACTGTGAAATTATGATTTTTTTTATAAACAATATCCGAATTATTCCCATCCCAAACATTTCAAGTATATCTTAATTTTAAATTTAAATTTAAATTTGAATGGAAGTTTGCATTTTTGTTTCTTCTATCTGCTCTGATTCTGATATCGCCCCTGATAAATGCTAATAATTGAAATCATGTAACAGAACAAGCACCTATGTTATTTTGGGTTATCTTTTCAATATTTTTTTTAATCCGTACTTATTACCAGTGTTTTAAAACTTCATCCCATCTCCCGGGTACCCGGGTCTACCCTGACCCCTCTCCTATGAGGGTTGGGGTCACAAGTTGGACTCTATATGCACATCGACCCCTCCGACCCCCAAAACTCGGCCGGGTTTTAGTGACTCCCGGGTCAGAGAAGTCAAAGGGGATCACTACATGTTTTTTTTTTAAATTTCCTGAAACAATGTCATTTTATTAAAAAAAATAAAATAAAAATGCTTACAAACCTAAATCTAATCGTTATCTTCTCTCCCAGTGACCTACGTCTTCAATCTTCACCTTGCTGCCGTGAATCTTCTAGAAAAGGAAAGAATTTTTCCCATTCAAATGAAATCCTTACAGCTGTTGATGGAAAACAAAAACTCATTCTTACTTCTTTTAAATTTTCCTTCCTTTGTCAGAGACCTTATCAAAAGAGGCAGAACTAGGTCACCATAGTGACCCCATTAGAATATGAGTTTTGTACTTTGGTATCTTGATACTTTAATTAGGTTGTATAATATTGACTTGTGGTTGTAATTGGTGAATTATGTTAAGTATATTTTAAATCTTTGATGATTGGTGGTTTGTTTTTTAATATATATATATATATATATATATATATATATATATATATATATATATATAAAACCGGGTCAGCGTAGTGACCCCCCGGTTGAACCCGTGACCCCATGACCCCTGACCTCGGCCGGGTCGATGGTCGGGCCGGGTTTTTAAACACTGCTTATTACTATTTAAAAAAAGATTAATGATTTATAACGTTTATTTTTCTTTATTTGTCGTTATGATTTTAGCCAACATTGTACTCTTTACTTTGACTTGGCAATTTATGCATGACAATCTTTTCGGAATCAATTTCATTTTAATTTTTATCCTGGAAATATAAATCGATAGAATACTTATTTAATAAAATTGGTTATTTTTCGGGATGAACCGATTTATTTTTTGTGCTGGGGAACAGAAAAAAGAATCAAAGAATTTCTGTTTTTTTTTCTTGGCACAAAATGAGAAACATTTATCTCTCTCAATTACTCTTCATCACACCGCCATCACAATCCTGACACGACCACTGTTATCATCATCGTACCACCACCACCATTATTTTCACCACCATTATCACTACCATTGTCACCAACCACTACCACCACCATCACCGTAGCCACTGCCAGCACCACCACCATCACGCCACAACTACTGCCGCCACCACTACCCCACCGCCATCATGTCATCTCCATCACCATCATCGTAGACACTGCTATCATCGCTGTCGCCGCCACTATTTCCACCACTGCAGCTGCCACTACCACTACCATTATCATGCCACTGCCATCGCAACCACCACTACCGTCGCCGTTGCCACTATGCCACCATTACCACCACTGCCGCTGCAACCACTACCATTATCACGCAATTGCCACCGCCACCACCACCATGTCGTCACCATCACCACCACTACTGCTACCACCTCCATCGTTGCGGCTACTACTGTCACCACCACCACCTTTACGTCACCACCACCATCATCACCGTCACCATTATCACTACCATCACCGCCACCATCACCACCACCATCGTCACAGCTACTACCGTCACCTTCACCGCACCATTACCACCACTATGCCACCATTACCGCCGCCACCACCACCATGATGCTACTGCCACCGCCGCCACCACCACAATGCCACTATTACAACCATCGTTGTCGCCGCTGCCACCACCACCACCACACCATATGAAAAGGAAAGTGATGATCTGAATTTTTTTATACTTAATAGGAATGATTTTAATTCTATTATTTGTTGTGTTATCAAACACAATTCTCATTCTCGGAATAAAAATAAAATATGTTATCAAACACATTTTTTTTCTAAGAAATTGTTCCAAGGCACAGAAATATAAAAAAATTATTTCTTTTCAGAAACAGTGCCAAGAAACATAATGGTTGCCATGCACACCCTTAATATATAAAATCTTCATCTCACTCATGCAAACTTTGCTGACTTGTCATTTTCTCCTTCAATTTTAGCTTTGTGTTCACACTTGAAATCAATTTGAAATATTTCTTCTTTTAATAACTTTTAAAATTCGAATTTTAAACGACATAGGTGGGAAAAGATTTGGAAAGAAGTTCCTGGCAAATAATTATATTAATATCCCACCACTTTCTGCATAGTTTATTGTTAACATGTTAATAATATTTATTATAGTTTGTGTATAAATAGGATATGTGTTAGTGCATATTTGCCATTGGTAATCAGCTTCTGTGCACATATTTCTTTTATTTTTGTCTGTTTATCTTCTTTATCTTCTCAAGCTGTTCTTCTGGATAATCTTACCCATTATATGTACATTTATAGTTTTCTACTTCATGTTTATTGATATTCCATGTTCATTGTTCTGTACTTTATTGAGTGAATTGTTTATATTATTTCTATATTCTATATTAATATAGCATACTTACAAGAGCAATTTTTTGTTGAATTAGTTTTGAAGTTGAAGTTGGAGACACCTTGCTAGACAAAGGAAGTTTGTGACTAATGAATATATTGTGCTAAGAAAAGTCCTGGGAAGAAGTAAGTATGAGTTGATTGTGTTTATAGAAGATGTGTTTGGTGTTTGTGTGCGACAAGGATGAAAGGGTGTTGGCGAGGCAACTCGCACCAGACACGTGTCCTTACTTGTGGAGGGATGGTGTAAGCCATTGACGTAGAGAGGCATTGGAGGTTCTGTTTTCTACCATTGTGCTATAAGATGAAGCGCAGATACTACTGCACCATGTGCAACAGGCGACTAGAGGTTTTGTAAAGTAGTAATCATAGGCGCATCATGCAAGATCTATTTCTTTTTTTGCAAATATTTTTCTCCTGTTCTGTGTACATCAATTAGCGAATACTATTAATTTTGAAGATAAGGAAAAAAAAAACATGCATTAGTACATGTAGGACATGTTATAGTGTGTTTATTTTAGGGTTAAATGAATTTATTTGGTATTTGTCGTGGCAATTGAAAATGCGAATCAATTCGGATCAGATATGCAACCCATTATATATATATATATATATATATATATATATATATATATATATATATAATTTTGGTCTTTACAAATTGTTATTCATGTGCAGTCTAAACCCATATAATCTAATGTTTCAATAAGTAAAATTTATAGAGAAAAATATTATTGCTAGAAGAAAGAAGCCACTAAAGGACAAAAATGTCACTTGTCTGTTTTAAACCTCGTAAACCAGATTTCTGTTCACACTTAACTGGTAAATAACAATAATAATAATAATAATAAGTTAATAAAAAATAATAATAGTATATACCCTTAAATGAAAACGTAAATCAAATGCTAAAAATTTTATTTCAAATTTGTTAAATACCATTAAATATGCCAAAGAAACTGAATTTTAAGCAATTAATGTCACTGTGTTTGTTTTCTTTGAACCTTGGTTTTTGAAAGAAAAAAGCAAAAGAGTTGCTCACAAATTAAAGAAACAACAGTTAAAGGTAGATCGAGTTCCCAGGCTGCTCTTATAACATCGCAAGCATGGTATCAATTGGTTATGTAGCTGTAAATTGTATTTTTGGGAGAAAGCAAGGTCCAAGCATCATTAAACGATCTATAATATCGAAACCCCCACATTTACCCCCACTGACTTACCATATCGAAGAATCCATGGGAAAAGACTTCAACATTATTTAGTGGCAAACAGTTGTATTAATATTTAATATTACACTATTTTCTGCATGAGTAATTAATGGTTAAGTATATTAATAATACCACTACTTTCTGCATCGAAGTAATTAATGGTTAAGTATATTAATAATACCACTACTTTCTGCATCGAAAATTGTTAAGCTTATTAATAATATCTATTATTATATCTATTGGGCTTAATTATTATACCTATTAGGATTAATTGTAAAACTGGAAAAAAGATATATATATATATATATATATATATATATATATAATAAATTTAAATTTAATATGAAGTTATAGACTAAACAAAAAAATATTTAAAATTATAAAAATATATGTATAATTGATAAAAAATAATTTAAATTTGAAGTTTAATTGAAAGAAAAACAAATGACATATTTATAATTTAAAAGAAAATAAATTAAAAAATTAACTTAAAAAAATACAAAAAGAGAAAAAAATTCCATACAGTTATTTAAAAAAATTAACATAAACGTTTTAAATATATATGTATAACCAATTTAATATATATATATATATAAATTATAAATTCAAAGAGAAAAAATTATTTTTATTAAAATATTTATAATTAATATAAAAGAATTTAACTTTTAAATTTTAAATTTAAATAAAAAAATTAAAATTGACATTTATCATTCACTAAAAAACAAATTATAAAAATTTACTCACGATAAAAATACAAATTTTAATTTAATATATAAGAAATAAATTAAACTTTCATTCTTTTAATTTAAGAGTGTAATAACACAATTTTCTATATCGTGAATAAATAACTAGAAGCTAGTAGTTGGAGAATGTGTGCAGCCTTCTATTTATGTTTCGCACTATTTTCTATATGAAAAATTGTTAAGCCAATTAGTAATATTTATTATTATGTATATTGGGTGGGAAAATATTTAATATTTAAAATTTAAACTTTTTAAATTTA